GTATCATGGGTAGTCCACATACCCAACTGAAGAAAACCATGCAGGCAAGAAAGAAAGAGGTGGGAACACATACCACAGAAGAAAACCATGCAGGCAATATAACAGAGAAGAGCACATACAGAACATAAAAGTCTATTTGGATGAGGAAGAGGATAAAGGTGTGATACAGAAAGAAGGAAAAGCAGTGAAACAGAGGAGTTATCCTCACAAGCCACAGAAGTGTTAGGGAGGAAAAATGATCCATAGAAAGAAGATATTTAGAAGAATAGAGAGTACGTGAAACATCAATGGCTAATAAACAGACCACTGACATCTACAGGTGAATACGAGAAGGAAGGAAAACATAAGGGAAGGTCAAAAAAGGAGCACTGGGAGAGTAGTTCAAACGTAAGCAAGGGAGAGCGGTTCAAACATAAGCAAAGTGAGACAGTGCAGGACCACACTAATATTCTCATCTGTAAGGGCAGCCCCCTGTGGAGGATGACAAATCTGGAAGGAATACATCCACAGGTAAAGTGTAGGAGAGGTAAATACCTGCAAGATCGAGAAAAAATGAAACATGTGGGACAGAACTGCCCAAAAATCTGAGACTGAGGAGACAGAAGACCCCTGATGCAAAAGTCAAGAGAGGAAATCTTCATGACAGAACAGTGGGTTGATCAGGGGAAAACCTTGGACCCAGAAACCAATGGCAGAAAAATTCCCTTTGCATTGAGAAACTTCCATGAAGGAAGGGTGAATGAAACAAGCCAGAAAAGAGGTTAACTGTTGTGAGAAATCTAATTACCTTGGCAATGACCAGAGGAAAACCAGGCATGAAGATGGAGAACACGAAGGTCTGAATGATGCACTGGTGACTGAGGATGACAAAGTCAGGACAGAGATAGAGGAATAGGTAAGGGAGGAGGAAGTTGGTGCTGGAGAAGCCATGGAAACTACAGCTGAGATGGCCAGGAAAGAGCTATCAAAAGGACTGAACACGGAGTGTCAAGGATGAACGAATTCCCGCGAAAAAGAAGGAAAATGGGAGAATAGACAAATGTATAGGTCCAATCCTGACTGAAAACATCGATAGCCAGAGCAAGTAAATGAGGAGCTGGAGACCAAAACCAAGGCAATTTGTGGTATAGGGATGTAGCAAAAGCTTCAATGTGAGGAGTACCCTGCTGAAGTCAAAGCCACTGGAAAACAAAAGTATCAAGAGACCACTCCATCGGATAAATGTTGTCTGGACAGGAATCCAATCCACAACAAGAGTGAAAGCACCTGGAACATGACACGCAATGATAGGAATATCGAGTGTGTGGGCCCAGAAAGAAGATCCAACATATGAATACAGAGGGATGGAGAACGGGTGCCACCCTGGTGATTGAGATAAGCAATCACTGAAATAAAGTCGGAATGGATCATTACCAGACTACTTCTGGCCAGATGAAGAAAATGAACCAAAACACGACCCACAATGAGAAGCTCCAGGATGTTAATAGGATAAGACTTCTGGGTCACAGACCAAAAACCCTGAATCTTCCATTTGATCAACTAACTCCCCCATCCCCCAGCAAATGAGTTCATGAAATGTGGAAAACCGGATGAGGAGGAAGAAACAGGACGCCTACTAATATGTGAATCATATCTAACCATCAATGCCAATCGACAACAAGGGTAGTAGGAGGAAGGTTAATAAGAGCCGACAAAGGATCCCTGCAAAATTCCACTGGTCATAAAAAGCCCATGAAAGAGCACATTTATGAGTTTGACCTAAGGGGATAAGGGCTACCAAGGATTATCAAATCCCCAGAAGTGATAGAACTTTGTGAGCTGTAATCGAACTGAAAACCAATTGAACGAAGTTGAAGAGGAGAAGGGCAGGCCCAACTGAGATGTGTGTATAAAAGAAAAACAGCCAAATAGACAAGATACTGGACAGGCCACAGTAAGAACTTCTCCAACTTGATTAACAGCCCATTATATATATATATATATATATATCTGCCGCTTCAGGAGCAGCTGATAAGGGTAACAGGCGGAATCCTGTTCAGAATAAGTAAACAGTAACCAGTCGATCAAAAAAAGGGAAAACACAACTCGAGAGCGAATAAGTGACGAACGAATGCTCTGAACGCCAGACAAAACATACAGGGCCAAAGCAAGTCCAAAGGGCAGTGAAAGAAACCACCCCATGGAGAATAAACCTTAGAGAGGGTCGTAAGTGATGAAATATTGGGATATGCAAATAAACAAACATTACATTCCTCTTTGTCATTAATAAACCTGGATAAAAAGCCCACCTAAGGGTGAGAAACGACTCCAAGGTAAAATGAGGCAGATTGAAAATTAGAATGAGGCGTGACAAACCTAGTACAGGCCACCACAGTTTCTGATTTTGTGGGAGGACAACAAACAGCCTGGAGAAAGATGATGAACAGGTGCAATGGCCTGTAGAGACAGAAAATCTTGTACCTCTTTGGACAGACTCAGGCTGGTGGCAAGATCCCAAGTCATAGGGAAGGAAAAGGGTACCAGGGACAAAAAGAGGTGGGGAAAGAAATAGTAGGACAAGTCCCTCTGATAAAACACAAAGAACCCATGAAACTGTAGTGAAAAATTGCCAAAGGGTAACAATATAATATAGTCAAGCTCCCACTGGACCAGAACCCTGTAGTTAGTCTCCAGTATTGTAGGCAACATGCCCATCAACATTGAATAAAACAATGAGATGGGAAGCCCCTGGAAGGGGAGAGGAACAGGTTGATATGGACCAAGACATGAAAGGAATAGGGAAATGTCGTGGCTCCAACTGTGACAAATGTACAACCAAAGAGGAAAGAGTTTAGTGTTGGCACACAAATTACGCATGAGATTCCAAAGTCTCAGATACATGATCAAAAACATATCAACAAAGAAAAAATACAGAAATCCTGAAAAGCTAGGTGGCAAACATACCCAAAACAAGGTTCCATTGTGATCCAGAAAATCCCAACTACAGTGAAACCACATGTGTAAGGCGAGAGCCAAAGAGGACAAATGAGATAAAATGGAGGTAATAAGGAATCATGGAAAAATGGGGAATTGGATAAAACATAACATACCCGAGAAATCATGTCGAAAAATGCTGTATTAGGCCTGGCCGATTCTGCAAGAGGGGTGGGGAAAACATGGCAAAATCCAGTGGTGTAAAAAAAGGCTATCAAATCATCATCAGCCTGAACAGATTTGGCTTGTTCAGGAGGATAATTGAGGCAATTTCAGGAGAAGAAGGTTGACCCATAGAACAATCAATCTCACGATGGATAATAGCAGAGAAATCCAATAATGGGTTTCCCCCACCTGTAGCCTGTGAAAATAGTGGCTAAAGGTATAACACCCAAAGTGGGAATATGAACCTCAGAATTCAATGTAGAAATACATAAATCAAACAAAATTGTTTGATGTAAAATATGCGAGTGGGAGAAAAAATAAATATTGGGAAATTAAGTTAAATTAAAAGATTTCTTCAATGTAAAAAAAAATTGATAATGATGAAATCCCACTTCAGAAATTTAACTTTTAAAATCACGATTCACATGAAGAGCATCAAAAGAAAAAACATCTGAACATGAATACTACAAAAAAAGAAGTGATAGTTCGATAGAATTGAATAGAGCAAGTCACTTGCATCATGAGAGTATGTCACACTCTTGTTGGTGGTAAAGGTATATAAAATACAAACATAATAATAATTAACCAAAAATTTAATAATCCTCCTAACAATAGACATATATCACATAAAAATTCCTTACCATTCGTCTTTGACTGATTAATGACCATCCAACTGTATATAAAACCAAAAACTTCCCCTCCTCTCAAGTTTCTCAGACTTAATTGCACAACCTGATTACATACTACTGATGGTCCAACAAGAGAAAAACTAGGCATTTCCTAAATTAGACAGAAATATAAGAACTGTATTACAGCATGCATAACTAATGTTACAAGTTTGAGCACACATACACACAAGTTAATATTAAAACAACTGCTACTCTAAAGCCTAATTTATGGTACTTATAGATCACTGAAAGTGCCAAAATTTTTTAATAAGATATTCGTTTTTATTTTATTTTATAGCTAAATAGAAAAGATTACATCATAGCAATTTTCATTTTTAGGCTACATAACAAGGCATCATATGAGTCCAGTAAATTAATAAATTCATTTTGGAAAGTTATTGATATGATCTTTATTCCTATTGATCATAATCAATATCCTTGAACATTTCACTAGTATTAAATCGTCATTACACAAAACACACATGAAGGCACAATGACAAGTGGGACAGTTAAAGAAAGCTAATGCAATTAATGACAGAAATTACTACCATATAGTGAAGCAATAAAATTCTAAAAATATTCAAATTAAAATGTAATCAAACAGAAAAAACATTACTGTCATGTTGTGAGCAGTAACATGTATAAAGTCAGAAATTACTGTCATATAGTAAGGAAGTAAATAACAAAAGAAGAGATATTAAAATAAATATATAAAAAAGAAAGATATCAAACTAAAAGTATAACCACAGACAGAAACTACTGTCATATTATATAAGATTAAGTACTATAAAAAACAACAGCACTGAAACAAACTATTGTATATCTAAGACAGTTACTACTGCCATATAGTTGGAGAACAAAAGTTAAAGAAACTGAAAGAGGAGAAAACACTTTTCCTTTTTCTGTATCTTGGTGATTTCCATTGTCAGAAACTAAGTTTGCCAGTTGTGAATTAAATGCTTTTAATTATACTTCTTAATAGTATAAATATATGTACTGTGTGTTGTTGTCGGGCTAAGGATTCTTCTAGAGTAGGTGTCTGTGACTTGTTGGCGATAAATTCAAAAATAAACAAACAGCATGCACTCCACTTGTTTTCAAAATAATATGTATATACATATATATATATATATATATATTTGAACTAGTTAAATGTATGTACAGAAATTCCTTACACTATAGAGATCATAGGTATATCATATATACTATATAGTTCTCTTCTTCTTAGGCCTATTCAATTGCTTTAGAATATCCAGTTGACAAGCCAAACTACTTTTCTTTGTTTCTAACACACTAGTATTTCATGTATAATTCACTTACAATTGTAGAGTGGGTTACCACAGTTGTATACTGCTCTTCGTACTTTTGCTAAAATGCACTCAGGCTTGTTCAATTACTTTAGAACCCACTTTGATGAAACAAACTATCCTTCTTATCTCTTAACAATTGTTAGTCTTCCTCTAACATATTTAACCATTAGGCCTTTCACTTCTGCGGCAGTTGACTTTACGTTAAACTTTTCTTTGGCTAAACTCCTTCTCTGTGACTTTACTCTCTCTTCTACTATTATCTGTCTGTCTGCCTACTTTTCCCACTCATCTCACACTATTTATACATTTATTAAATAATTGTCTGATCGCTATATCCTCATCATCAATAAATTTCATGCAATGTTCTATAATCTCAACATTATTGAGTTATAAACACAATGTACAACTCTTATCAAATTAAATTAAATTAAACTTGTCATCACATTTACTTTAAAATAATTGCTTCTAACTCTCTTGTTATAAACAAAATTAAACAATCACAAAATATTCACTCACAAAATAAATTAGTCAATAATATCTACAAATAACAGTCTTTTATATTATGGCACCTATACAATTAAATTAGGTGCAAAACTCAATGGGAAAGAAGTAGGTGTTGGGTATAGGATGTAATGGGAAAAATAAAAATAAGGTAAATTTTCTTCAGAATTCAACAAAAATATCTTACTGTTTACTTTTTGGTATATACTTAGTTGAAGAATAATTACCCTAAATGGCTTTAAGCATACAGTTTACTATTATCACTGAAATTATCTTATTGTGTCAGTTCAAGAAAAATCCACCAGGAAGGTGAGGAATTCTCCTAATCAGATATTAATTTGAATCTTAGGACAATAATTCATATACATTAAACTTGAACTTTAAACAAATTACATATAATGAAGTAGTCATACTGGGGCTTTCAAAACTTTGGTATCATTACTCATCCACTAGAAAGAAAAGTGTATTCAATTGTTTGTCATAAATTAACTGCTACTTTTTTATGCATAATTAGTATGCCTTTGTTTTTATGGCCATTTAAGTATACAACTCTGTTGATTTAGTTTACAGTTATCATAAAATGTAAAAGCACTGTTACCATCAAATGACATTTATTTTGTACATCAATTGACTGTGGTAACATCTTTATAATATCACAAAAAAGCATGGTCATACAGAATCACAGTTTTAAATGACTCAACTAATTTTCTTGTTAATGCTGTTAAATATAATGTAGAAGTTTAAAATGTTTTGAAATTTCAGGTGACTGAACAAGCAATTAGTACATTTTAAAGTCATTCTGATCAGAAACATATTTGTCTACATAGATAATGTTAAAAAGAAAAGATGAAAATTAAATACAACCAGAGGAGAATGATACAAGAAGAGATCAAGGTCAAAGAAAGACCTAGGGAGAGATAGACAAACTGGTAAAATACAGGGTGGAATGAAGTACATTGATCCAAACCTTGGGTGCCATCCAGCATGAAATAGATAAGTCAAAATGTATGTATTACAGTACACATATACAAGGTGTGTATTACAGTACATATATATAAGGTAAGTAAGGATTACAGTACACATATACAAGTAAGTAAATACGTATTGCAGTACACATGTACAAGGTAAGTAAATACGTATTGCAGTACACATGTACATGAAATATATCACTGCACAAAAACATTAATTGTATAACTCTCATAGACAACATTGATTTTTTCAAAGCTTCTTACAATGCTACAGAAGGTTATCTGTCCTTAGTTATCTCTAATTTTGAACTGACAGACTAAAGAAGAGGCAGCTAGTCACTATCAGTGCTTGGGTTACTTTCATCTTATCAAACAGTGGGATTTGACAGATGTTCTTTCATTGCATCAACAGTTCCAAAGTGTGGAGCATATTTTTTGTGGCAACAGGTTACAAACCATGAATCTTTACATTTGAAGTCTAGCATTGCAACAACAAGGTCAAAACTTTACTACTGCATAGAACATGACCAACAGTAAACGTTAAAAAAAAGATCTAAAGTAAGCCACATATATACAAATTCCAATCATGGCTCATTTTCACTACACAGCAGAGCTACCATCAAGATTCACTTTTCTAGGATAGAGAATGATCAGATGTGATGACATGGATTTTACTGATGTGGTGAGGCTCCAAAATTGTTTTAATATAACATACTCAGTCTCTGTACTGGATGCTTGAGAAATAACTAAAGATCAAATGATGGGCAGCATAATAGGTTTGACTAAGGTGTTTACAACCATTCTGTTTCAGCTTGGTACCAATCACTCCATGTTCACCCATTGTAGAAGAAGTTCCATCAGCACCAAATGAAACAAAATAATCCAATAATGTATCTTTTCTTTAACAATTTTGTCAACAACTGTAATGGCTCTGACATCACTCAACTCACACATCTTCATGAGAAATGTACATTAATCATTGTGAACAAACAGTGTAAGTGTTTTATGAACTGTTGTTTCATCCAGACATAGTTCTATGAATGGAAGACTTTGAAAAATCCAGCTCACAGTCAGTTTTCTGTCATTGACATTTCTTATATTAAACACTTTAATAAATTCTAAGTTCACCTTCTTTAGCTTCTAAAAACATGATGAGTGATTTTCAACTCATCAAAATACAACAACTGACAAATTACAACCACTTAGTGTGACAGTAAATAACTCACTGGATTCTCAGGCCACTGAACAGCAACTTGCTGTGCTGCCATCTTCTCCGTAAAATCAACATTTTTAGTACGATAATGGAGTAACCCAGGAAGCAGATCAATACTCATATTCGTTTTAACTTTGCTACCAAAGTCTAGTTGTGCTTGAATAATGTTGTTTTCTATCTCACAGCCTAAATAAAATAATAGAGACAATCTTGAATGTATTTTGACTTTAAATAACCTTAGTAAAAACCTAGAAACTTGTCTAAGTTTTACAAACATATACTTTGTTTCAGAATTCATCAAAAGTTTAGAGACTGTTATTTGTCACTGACAAATATACAATTATTTTACCATTTTAATATTTTTATTGTAAGTTACATCCCACGAATATAAAGAAAACAAGAATAGACAGCTGTCCGTAAAAAGATATTACATTTGTTATGAGTCTCTCCATAAGCAAAACTAAGAAAAAGAGCTGAGTTATTTCAAGTTAGATATACTTACTATACTAATACTTCTATTGAGTTAGTCTGTGCTCATGTTATATCTAATTTTTATCAATACCTTACAGACTTCAAAACATGTCTTTTGTCTATGATATTCTACAGAAATAGGATTAAATGGAAATGACTCAAACTTCTTAGATACACACAGAGAAACCAAAGATGTAGTTGTTGTTTTTTTTGGCTACTTAAAATTATTTTTTACAAATAATTATAAAGTTCAATTACATAATTACCTTTAAAAATTAGATTTTTTGTTGTATCTGTGTTAAACAGTTGTTGACATGGTTCTTTCATAAAGATATTCATATCAAATACTATAATCAACTCATATAAACTGTCTGATATGAAGTTCCTAACTGGAGTGGGTGCTTTTGAGACAACAGAAATCCAAGGACTTTTTCCTGAAATTGGGCTAAATGATAAAAAATTATAAGTATATATATAAAATTAATATATTTGAACTGTTAGAAGAAACATTCAGCAAAAAAATAATACTTTAAATCGTCTCACACCAAGCTTGAACTTAACTGTACATACATTACAAGTATACCTTAATGGTATCAAATCACAAGGGAATGTTAGGGAGGATTTTGTAAAGTTTTGCTTATACATGGTTGTGTTAATGTTAAGCTGTTCAATAAACATCAAGTCTACAACAGTACATAAACCAAATCACTAGTATATACATGTTCTGCAAATAAGTAAGATATACTCTATTCTTTATTTAATGTTACTTTCATTAACACTATTGGTCAGAAAGTTTAATATATCTATTTTAATTTTTTATCATTATATCTTTATCACAGACATTATGTTGAATTGTTAACTTAGTAAATCGATTTTGGACAAACTTTAAATCTCCTAAACTGGTCAAACCATAAATGGCTAGCTCTAATCAGAATTTAATATATATCACACATTTAAAAGATTTGAGAGGACAAATTATAGCATATAAGTAATTTTTGGAAACCACTGTATAAAATATTCATCTTTATAAAGTATTGAGCTTTTATTTTTATACATATTTACTTACAAAGGTCCTTCATCTGAAAAGTGGCTGAGTGTTACTGAAGCTAATCCCACCAAGTTAACTGAAGATGGAAACAAACAGGTAAAATTTTTTCCTTGAACTTCAACCTTTTCTTTACTCAAAATATCTTTTGTCAATCCAAAAATATTTTTTATACTGAATATGCAGCCCAGCTTACCAGTATCAAGCACATTTTCACTGAGTGTCAAAGTTACCTATGTTAAAAAAGGTAACATAAAAAATGTTAATACTTGTCTCACATAGGTTCTTATAATCACTCTATGTAATTTATTTTCACTTGTGAAAATATAAGATAATTAATCTGATATATAGCTTTTACAGCATAAATGTATATTGATTAATTATTGCGTTTTGTTTTGTACATAAAAAAACTCATTTTTCACAGCTACATGTATTTAAAGTTCTTTGAATTCTTTACTATATTAGGGTACCAGTTATATTCAGAAAAAGCATATAAACTTAGCAAAAATATCTCAAAAAGATGCAAGATGAAATCATAAATCTGACACCATTTGATGAGCACAAATGATATTTGCTGATGAACCACTCAATGTCATTTTTGTCTCTAAATTGAATTTTTTAACACATATAAATTAATCCTTTTGCTATGTTTATATATGTATCTTGTGCCATATAATCTAAGACATGTACTAATCTTCTTTTCCTATATACCTACACAGATGTATTTGTCTATCCTATGCATATAATATAGCCAAGGGAAATAGCCAGGTTTTCTAGTGGTTATATGTTGCATAGATCACATGAAAAAACACATCTGACTATCACATATCTTCTGCCTGATAACATGTTTTTACAGAAGTCTTGGGATAAATTCTAGAGCTTCTTCGATATTTACTGCTTTATTTCTGCTGCTGTATATTGGTGTTTAGTCATGATAAGCTTATAGAAAAGGATCAACTACACTCTCACTTATACAAGGTTCCCCCTATCTACCATCCCAGAAACATCAAAGCAGTGAATCTTGTAGAAACCATAATTTAATTTTATCCCAAATATGTTTTAAACACTGGATGACTGTAAAGGATGCAGTACATGTTGATATACATGTATATCAAGATTAAAAAATTACATAACTTAAAACAGTAGGCCTAAAATTATTGTGCAACTAATTTTGTAGTGTTACTAAAAGATGACTGAATATTACATCACAAAACAAAGGATCCTACCACGAAATTATAGAAAAAAGAAATGTTTTAGTTATTTTGAAATTGTGTTGCAAAAACTGAAACATTATAATACAATTACCAAAAAGAAATGTTAATTCTGCACAGGGAATAAATAGTGTTGAAGCATTGAAGGAGGTTAAACATACAATATTATGGGAATTATCATCTTCTTTCTATAGTTTTCATTATATCACATCAAAAATGTTTATGATACTACCAAGTATTTCTTTAACATTTCTGTTCTCATCAGTTAATTAAACTTCAGTAAATAATATTAAAATTATCTATAAAATTATAACAAGACCTATCACTATAAACTTATTTTTTTATTCAAGAAATACAAAATAGTCCCATAGCAATAAGGATGATCAGAATGCTCAATATACAGAGTAGTCTTTAATTGGAATGATCAATTCAAATCTATAACTAAATAGCCCCCTGGCCAAAATAAAAAAAATTCTCTTGAGAATTACACCCACAGAATTTAATTGTCTAATTAACCTTTCAAAAATATATACACAATGACACAATTTAGTTTAAAAGGAACTCTCAACCACAAAAGGCTAGCTATGTGCTTGCAGAAAACTAAATGAGTAATGGTTAGCTCATAATAGTTAGATTACACACATTCAGAAAAAATATGTAATAATTAGTTTTTAAGATTTACATTATATACTTTCACCTTGGTATCTCTCATTATAAATAACTTCTTGGGAAAAATCTTCTCTATTTTCTGTGATGCACTATTTACATGATAAACTCTCAGATTTCTTTGCTCCACTTTCCCAGCATCTTTGAATGTACATCCTAATTCATAAGCACCAACTGGTACATTTGCAAAAAATCTCCAGAATGTTACAATATAAATTTCTTTCTGCACAGCAGCATGAAATTCTGGAAGAGATTCTTTCTGCAAGTGAAAAAACAAATATATATATTCACACACACACACACACATATATATGAATATTCATTTTTAAAATAATAAATATTTAGCTTCAAATATTTTATTTATATTTTCATAACACCACATTTCTGTATACATTTGCATTCTCTTAAATATTTTTTACCTTTTTTCTATGGCAAAAAAATCAAAACACTTGAATTGCATGAATTTTTTCATTTTATGGTTTGTTTAATAGACAACATAACTTTCAGTAATGAGTTGTGTTTCTATATACTTTCTTTAATATTTTGGTACATAAAGATACCATGCATTTTTTACCTTCATAAAACAATATATTGTTATTCTAAGTATGTGCATTTTTTATATAATGTGTGGTCAAGAAAGTCATTAAACTGATTTTATTCAAGCTGTCTTTGTCTCTTGTCATTCTATTGAGGTCACACCTGTTCTGCCCATGAAGAGAACTGGCTATAATGTTGCATATTATGCAAGAATGTAGAAAGCAGTGTCCTCCAATGGTAGATTAGGTGGTATCTCAAGGTTACGGCCACCAAAACATTTGAACGAGAATGACCAGTCATGTGATAGCACTAGTCACGCTCAGTAAATCCAACATTACCAGTGTAGAAAGGAATGTTGAATTTAAGACAGTCTGGTAGATAATCTCAAGATATTCAGTTTTGGACAGAAAGAGAGAATAATTTAAATCCAGTAGAACTAGCAGTTCATTATCTAAGCAAGAACAAACACTATTTTCTGTTAAAAGAAGGTTTGTGCTTTTGTATTTTACATTGTGTTTAGTCTATTTATTTCATTAACATGACCTCACATATTCTGAGAAACCCAGTAATATGCTGTAATAGATATCTCCTGTTATTCAGTGGATCTATCCCATTGTTATAGGATTAATCTGTTTTATCTGAAGATACCAGAATATTATAAATTATTTGTCATAATATTTATATAATACCTAAAACTTTAGCATTCAATGTTAATATATTAAATATATATATATATACATATGTAAATCCAATAAGTATGAGGTTATCCAACTATGTAGAAAAGTTTTCACATATAAAGTGGATCTCTAGTACACATAACTGTCAACTGCATAAAACCTACTTGATGCTAAAACATCTTCTATGAATCATAGAATAAAAATTACACTTTTTCCATTTAGCATGCAGGCACATAAACATGAAATTAAAACCTCATTCACAAATAAGCCCTTAGTATGACATGAACAAAACTATATCTTCATTAAATAGCTATTATTTGAATACAAAAATAAATTTTGAGCAGTTGGTACTGATTCCACTAGGACAGTGTAATAAGTTTCATCAAGCAATGATAGTTTACAAATGAATTTCAAACTGTTAGTGCAATAACTGATGAATATTTATACTTGTAGCATGAAACACAGATGAAACAATTAAGGTAATAAACAACACATGAGTTAAACCTTGTTGTTTATTTATGAGCATTTCAATTTCACACGTTGACACTAATACCCCAAGCATAATTAAAAATATTATGACGTACAAGAAAAACTACATATATTTCTTACTGAAGAACTTTCGATGTTGCCAACAGGTTCAAGTTTGCATTCAATATTATCTTTAGCTAATGCTTTAGTCATCTGAATGGTAATGTTTACTGGTTCATTTGGGTCTGTCATATCAATAACTTCTGGCCATAGAAGCAGAAATGCTGTACAGCCTGTAACACATAGACATAGATTACAACTTTTCCCAATATAGATAGGAAATATGTACTTTATGTAACAAGAAAACTGAGTTGGGTAAGGTGGTTCACCTAAAGCTGCTACGAAAGTTTTTAGTTTTAGTTTAGAACAAAAGATAATTAAACTGGCTAAATAAAGCAGACATTTTAACAAGTTTATAGATTGCTGAAGTTCTCAAATACATCACTATATTATGAAAGTCACACAACTGTCCTAAAATAAACAGTAAAATGCTTGCCACATTCAAGTACCAGCTCAAGAGATGAAAATAGAATACACTGTATAACTTACTGTTAAAGTGGAGATCTGTGGGTAGAAGGCAGTTTCCACAAACATCGGTTTTTTTACCACTGTGAGGAACACCATCACAGCCAATGCATAAATTGTTACCATCACACACATCACATTTGTCCATTCCATAATCTGGCATTCTTTCTGTTTTCTTTTCAACACAATAACCACATCTGTAAAGAAAAACATCATTTACAAATCTACAGAAGATTCATCAATTACTACAAGTAAGCTAAGTAATACCTGTATCCACTGTAACTCTTTTAACTTTCTATTTAAAAATATATAATGTTTGCTAAAAGTCTTAGATGCTTTTAATAAGGTAAGGAATTATTTAGAATTTAACAGCTATTTTTAGCAAACAATGTATACTTGCATATTAATAATAGATATATATTCAATGAATGTAAAACTTTACATTTTTATTAGTTGAATTTCTAATATTCAATATATGTTTAAATCTCTCTTTATATAAATTAGATTTATAACACACAGTAGAGACATGAAAACTGAATCTATTTTGTTTGAAATGCATTTCCTGTTTGTGAACATCCTTATTAATGAATCATTTTTATCATAATAAAAAAAAACATTTACCTTTTAATGTTTAAAAGCTAATATTCTTTCATCAATGCAAATATCACCCATAATTTAATTTTAAAGCTTAATTAATTCAAGCAAAAATAACACAACAACAAAGCTGAAAACCAGAAGAATATTTATAATTATTCATTTTTTTACCATTATGAAATGAATACTAATTTAAACATATTATAGAAATCGTGAAATGTACTTGTAGACTCCAGATGTTTCTTTAAAGATAGATAAAAATGTTTATTTTTGATGTTCCAAAAGTCTATAAAAAGCTTTATTGCATGTATAAAACTTACACATTCACATAAGCATTCTTATCATCTGCTTCATCACATTGATCCTGTGGTAGTTCTTTCCTGAACATTACAAAATTATTGCATTTTACAAGGTATATTTAAATATATATCTAAATCCTATATAAACAATATACACAGAACACCAGTAAGTAGATAGAAAAAATGCTATTTATTAAATAAACAAACTTGAAACAATGGGTACAATATTACCATGGCCACATATCATATTTATAAGGAATTGCACTCCATACTTTCAAAAGAATTTGGACAAGGGTGTCCTAAGAAAGTGATTGGTTGTGACACTTTCGCAGGGAGCTATCACGAATGGACAAAACATATTTGATAAGGTTCATATTCAGCAGCTGGCCAAGCCACTGAAAAGTGGTAATGTCATTGTTTTGTGACTCAGACAAATAAAAAATATCCCTATCTTGCATGAAAATTCTGATCTGTCTGGCAATATGCTCAAGAACTCGATGTATTGAGTGGTAGTGGCCATCCCTTTGCATAGCAATGGCTGTAATCATCTAGCTACTTAAATGGCACCCTCCACCATAATAGAAGTACCACTTATTTTGTTGTGGCATGCAGACAATCCAGCAAATGTTTTTAGGGGGATAATTGCCAAACCCAAGTGAATCCACTGCATAAGAACTGTGTAAATTTGGACATGTTAGAAAAACATTACAGTGTACAAATTTGACTGGAATGAGGAATGGCTTATATAATTGTATTGGGGTACATTTGCACATGTTCTGAAACAGTAGTAGTCACCTGACATGGGACATTCTTGACACTTCTTTTAGCAAGAAGAGTCTACTCTTTTGGTTTTGATTGCCTGGGCCATGAATAAAGTTTTTTTTTTAATTTTACAATTTGGACAAAGCTAGGTACATTTTTATTACATCAGTACTACAAACTTGCAAAGCACAAAGATAGTCATTTCTAAATGGATAGCAACAGAATAAGCTAATATGAGTATTTTATATCTTTATAATAGGTAGTTTATTAAACATTCCATATAAAGGTGACCATCCTTTTTTGACAATTTTATATCATTGCTTCGTTTTTAACACTAGTGTTAGGATAGCTTCTTGATTTCAATCCGTATAACAAGATGTATGTCTTCCATCTCATTTATGGGCAAGTTATTTGTAAAATTACCTTATTCTTTATGCATTAATAATACCAAAATACACTGAGAATGCATTAAACTCAGTGATATTTCTATATTTCAAGGATTAGCTATTTATATATATTTATATTTATGTTAGTGGAAGTTTTATGATTTCTTTAATTTTTAAGTTATTTTTACATTTGCAACATCCTCTTTAAAGTTATTTCTTAAAAACAATAAATTAGTTATGAACTGTTTATAATTTTGTACTTGAATAGTGCTTATAATTCTGAATTACTGGTGATTGACATTTCTTAATACTTTTGAGTCAGTGGAATGAAATACATTTATATGCATATTAAATTGAACTGAATAATTACTAACTGGTATGGTAAGTTTAATGACTTATACTTCATGAGTGAAACTCCCACTTTCAAAATTTAGTTGAGAACTTAAAAATGCACACACAAATGTTTCTCATACTTACTGAACACATAAATATTTGTCATTAATTTTTATAACCTCCTCTTGTTTCTCACAGAAGTTAGCACAGCTTTTCTTTATATCCTCTGGCTTTTCCGATGTACACAAACCACATTCCTCAGAAAAATCTGCAAAATTTAATTTGTTAGTAAATAATATAGAAAAAATATAGCAAAATGAACCTTGAAAATGCATTATTTACACCTAAAACTACATAATGAATTATCAAATTGAACTTACTAATTCGAAACATATATGCTGATCACTTATGTATCACTTTTACAAACTATAAATTTGTAAAGCTCTTTATTAAAATACATTTTATAACAGTTTCTTTTGTTATATTTCCATAAACAGAAACATCTTATAAAGAAAAAAATATATGTTACATCTACTTAGAGTGAAAATATAATACAAATAACAGCTTTAGGCATATAGTCTAAAAGTAGGTTGAAGTGCTATGAGAGAGCAAATTTTGAAGTGGCTCATTTATAGTTTTTAATTTTCCAGAGCTTTAGGTTTCATGCACTAATCAGGGGACATTGTGATGTTATGTTGTTAATACCACTGGCAGGTACACAGCTTTTAAACAGTGGGTATGGGCAGTGGTATATGTATGCCCCTGCAATTGTGGAGAGGTCCAAGCCAAAAGGGAGCCTATAGGGCCTGACAAACTTAAGAATTATTGACAATGGAAATAAATGTAAAGGCCCAATTACTTTTTGTGGAGGGGAGACCATCTTTTGTACTGGATATAGGAATATTCTTAAAAGAAATTTTGGAAAATTAAAGCCTAATATGTTATCTGAAAGTTTTTAAAAAGTTTAATTATTAGTATGTCTCTTGGTTGTACAGCAGCAAGTGTATGGATTTACAACACTAAAATTGGGGGTCCAATTCCCTGTGATGGACACAGCAGATAGCCTGATGTGGCTTTGCTATAAAAACACACACATTATTAGTATAATAAAGTCTGCAAGTTATCCTCTGTTTTACTCTGACTGCCCTGTGCATATTAAAATTGATACTGTTACCTTTTATGAAATATTAATCACAACTGTAAGGTGTATTCAACCTATCCTTTCAATTTATTACTGAATGCACTTGACCACAGCGTATAAGTTGACAGCATTAATGCTGGATTAGGATGTAATAGACACTGCTATGTAAATCTATGCAGTAAGACATGCATGGTTTATCTGATTGATTTTGTGTTATTTCTGTTATAATTACTTAGATGACATCATTAGATGACTACTTAGTAAATCTAGGTCTAACCAAACTCAAATATTAGTTTTTTATCAATAATAGCAAAACTTAAATTTTACTGTTTGTTTGTTTTGAATTTCGCTTAAAGCTACACGAAGGCTATCTGTGCTAGCCATCCCTAATTTAGCAATGAAAGACTAGAGGGAAGGCAGCTGGTCATCACCACCCACCACCAACTCTTGGGCTACTCTTTTACCAACGAATAGTGGGATTGACCATCACATTATAATGCCCCCATGGCAAGCATGTTTGGTGGGATGAGGAATCGAATCCACAACCCTCAGATTACAAGTCAAGTGCCATAACCACCTGGCCATGGCCAGGCAATTTTACTGTTAAGCACATAATAAATGAGATGAGATTTGAGAAAAAAAGTCAACTTATAGCCAAACTCAAACATTAGTTATTTTATCAGTAATAGCAACACTTAAATTTTACTTTATTTGCAAGTACTATACAAATTGTGAGCTTATTTCAAGCACCCATAATAAACAAGGTTTAAACATCCCTTTCATCAGAACTAATTGAGAAATTTAACAAGTTATAAACACACAGAAACAATATTTTCTTTACAATTTATAAATAAACTCTTTAAACCCATAATTTTTTGTGTGTTCTGCCAGAATTATTTTCATGATTTCCTAATAATTATCACCCCATCTTATGAAATTTAAATTTTTTAAATTTTGTTTTTCCCTTCTGCAGCAGCAAAGATACCCACATCAAGAATTATTGAGTAAATAGCCTCAAATCTTTTGCTGTTGAACATTTGGTGTCACCATCCAATGGGTAAGTCGGATACTAACAGCAACTGCTCAGGTTTAAGGAGTTAAACCTTATTTTCATTACAAGTACTACAGAAAATGAAATCTTACTTCCATTATATATTCCAGTACAATCACGACAAGTTAACCCATCACCACCACACACACCACAGTCATCCTCCATCAGTGGGTGGTCAATCACACGTAGATCCAAACAGTCTCGTTGTTCCAAATAATAAACCATAAAATCTTCAGCAAGAGGACCCTCTTTTCCACAAAGCTAACAGAAAAATTCCAATGGGTTCATTATGATATTGTAAGCCATTCTTAACGGTTAACAAAAATACATAAGAATTAACTACATCTTTAGTGGAGCATTATCTGAATTTTTTTAAGTGAAAAATTTATTATGCATCAGAATATCAAGCTAAAGCAATCACATAATTGACTTTAGTTAAATAAATTGAGTATAAAATAGTTCAGAATGCACAATTTACAATAATTAATTATTCAAGACCAGGATGTTAAATTCACACTTATAACAAATATTACACAAGCACAATTACAAAATGGGGTCTGTGTTGGGCCTCAACACCAGAAGTAAACTCAATAATGATATTTATAAATGATAATCCTTCCTTAGAATTATGCATAGATATAATAAACACAAGCCAATTCACTGGCTGCAATACATCTGCATTTACTTCCCTTTAGTATTTGATCGAGTTATATTGCAACTTAACATTTTTTATATTCTACAATCAATTTTAAACAGTTTCTTTAGTCTACTTGGGCTTAATCACTCCTTATTGCGAAAATATTTTTTGACGGAGTATATTATATAGAATTATATTTGTTTGTTTGTTAAGCACAAAGCTACACAATGGACTATCTGTGCTTTGCCCTTCATGGGCATCAAAACCCAATTTTTAGCATTATAAGCCCTCAGATTTACTGATGAGCCACTGGGAGGCAGAATTATATAATGCTAGGAATAAGCATACCAACTTTCATTAACAGACAAGTAAGAAACATTGTACATTTAAAATTCACTAATCAAAATATTTATTTAAATCTGTATTAGTATTAATTAACTAGTGGTACTTCCAGGTCTTTTGTGCCTCATTATATGATCAAAATGTTCTTTGTTAAAAATAGCATTAAAAAACTTTTATAAATAATTTGAGCATTAAGAATTTAACATCTCATTATTAGTAACATTTAATGACAAAATACCAGGATTATCATTAACACAGAAAAGGGGTAAAAAGAATAGTATGCCGCTGTTTTTTTTTTGCACCAGTCTCTCTCACCAATAAATACATGAAAAATTAACATATAATAACACCTCAACATTTTCCAATATTTGTCACCAACTCCAGAAATACAGATATAAAGGTTTACAAACATATAGTGAATGCCCAAAATAATTTCTGTCACTTGCAGTAAGTATACTTATGGACTTGGATCTGAAGTTTTCTTAAAACCAAATGAATCTAAAGTAATTATTTTCATTAATATAAAAGATAAAAAAATATGATAATCTAAAATAACATACAAATAAGTAAAATCGTAAAACCAACCAGAGCACAATTTGCTAAGTTCATGTCAACAACTTCTCCATCACCTCTACTATCAGTCATATCCCAAGCTGTTCCTAAAAGCATAACTTTTTCAGCAGCCTCAAATATGGAGTATTTGACATCGGGGTATTTTCCAACAAAACGCAACTCCGTTGAAGGGGAAAGAAACACAGCTTTCATTGAAACACTCTTTGTCATTCCTTGGTTTAAACTTCTATGATGAATAAGACCAAAATTGTAAGGAATAAATTCCAGTGACATGTTTGAAAATGAAGATCGATTTGATGCAACTGGTAGACTCTGCCAAACAGATTGCTCAGTTGTTTTATACTGCCACATCCCTGTAGAAAGAAAACCAGTGACATATATTAATTAAAACTAATTTAATTACTTTTATTGTAACAAATTTTGAGCTTAAAGCATCTATTTATACAGGAAAAATACAGGAAAAATACTATAAATCATAGTTAAAATTCAATATGTAGAAACAAGGCCAAAATTCTGGAATGTTTTTTTTTCATTTCGACCTTAGTCACATCAAATTAGGGGTCAGCATGTATTTTTGGAAGCCAAGAATTTTAACACCCAGGTGGCTAGTCCAGTCAGCAACAATTTGTTGATACCAAATCTGTAGTAAACTTCCTAATGTTTTATCATGGTAGTTATAATGTAATGAATATCCATTCCAATGATTTTTGTGCAACAATTTGACAAAAAGAATGCAGAATAATTTTTAAGATTTTTAAAAAGCCAACAGTTTTCCAACACTTAAAAGTTATACTTCTTGAAATGACCTTAACATTTAATTAAGTCTTATCTAAGGTAAAGTTTTTTAATTATCTGGTTTATATATATAACTGTCATTCTATAAGAAAAACAATGAGGATATGAGAAAATTTCTATTGCACCATACCATCAAAAATTATCTTTATGCATTATTTTTGTTATTTGTGATATTAAGATGTACTGTACTGTAAATGACACTGTAACACATGCACAAGAATAAGTGATTTCTTTCTAAAAGTATATGATATACAATCTTTTTAAGACGTACAAAGAAATGTCTATTTAATTTGGAAGCCTTAAACAAGGACCACTTTCAATGTATAAATAGGTATAAAAATTTTGTACAATTTACTTTTTATTTAATTTAATATCTATTGTATACACACTGATGTGAGAGCACATTGCCAGTATCTGCTGAAAAAACAGGTCTAATACCATAATAAACTCATGAAGAAACACCATTTGTGAATTCAGAGGGACCCATCATAGTACCATCAGCAAAAAGTAACCAGTGTAAACTAGTATATATGATATTATAAACTAGAATGGCATAATAAATTAAGTATGAAAAAAGATGAAACATTAACACTATCAATTGCCTTAACAATCTTAAACACCTCAGTCAGATCCACTCTAACTTCTCTTTTTTGAAGAGAAAAAAATTTTGAAAGATCTTAATTTCTCCTTATATGACAACTCCTCCATCCTAGGCACCATTCTAATCACCCTCCTCTGAACCCTTTATAACAATTCAATGTCCTTCCTAAGGTAAGGAGTCCAACACTGGACACAATACTCCAAATGTGGCATAACCAGTGACCTATACAATGAAATTATATCCTCTTTAGACTTGTATTCAATATTTCTGTGGCTATAACCTAAAATCCCGTTTGCCCTACCACTAGCAATAGCACACTGCTTGGATGGCTTAAGAGACTGATCAACCACTATACCAAGATCCCTTTCTTTTATGACACTGTTAAGTTTATTCCTATCCAAATTATACTTATAATTCAAATTACAATAACCCACATGCATTATCTTGCATTTATTATAATTAAAACCCATATGCTATTTAATTGCCCAACTCACTAAATGATCTAAATCTTTTTGTAAAGCAGCAACATCCTCCTTACAGCCAGCAACACCCAAAATCTTAATATCATCTGCAAATTTAAGTAACTTATTGACCGTTCCTTCACCTATGTCACTGGTGTAAATAAAAAATAAATAAAAAGGTTCTAAGACTGAGCCCTGAGGTACCCTATTTGTGACATTAAAACAGTTTGACCGAACTCAATTTACAACAACCCTCTGCTTTCTTCCATCCAGCTACCCTTCTATCCAATTAGCCAACTTATCCCCCACACCTATAGAGATAATTTTCTTTACAATCCTTTTATGTTGCACCTGAAAATCTAGATACATCGAATCAACACCCTTACCCTCATCTTCATAAGCAGTAAACTTTCAAAAAAATGTCAAAAGATTTGTAAGTCAATACTTTCCCTTAGTGAAACCATGTTGACTATCCAATAAATTTCTAAACTTTGTTAAGTAACTTTGCAAAACAACTTTTATCACACTTTTCAAAACTATTACCATAACTGATGTATTGTCACATGATTATGGGCTATTATATTGTTACGTCTCCGTTTGTTAATTAACTTTCCGTAACTTCGTTCCGACGAAACTTGCGACACAAGTTCTTTACTTAATAAAACTGGTTTATTCTTTCCGAATACAACTTTACCGATACACTCAACTTCAACAATCGGGCTAAACAAACGCTATAACAACGAACGTCAATAATACTTCTGACTGCAGATCAATTACTCACTATCTACACACACATT